ATGGTGGATACCACTTCCTTTTGGTAGTCAGTGGTAGGATCCTGTTGTAGGCAGAAGTGTTAGTTGTCTAAGGCTTCATTAATATATAGGACTTTTTGCAACACCACAACAGCGCGTCCTTTGTCAGCTGGTTTGATGACAATATCATCTCTATTGTGGAGAGATTGGAGTGCCTGAATTTCTCCTTGGGTGAGGTAAGACCTGTGTTTACTGGGTCTTAACAATCTGGCTCCATCATACATCTCTGACCTCCTCTATGTTTACACTCCCTTCCAGAGGCCCTGGTCAGTTGAGGCCGGTCCACTGCTTACTGTACACAGGACTAAATCTTGAACTTTTGGTGATGGTACCTTTTCTGTCTCTGCTCCAGTTATGGCATGACCTTCCATTCACTTTATGACAGACAACTTATTTAACTCTCTTTAAATACAAGCTTAAAACTTTCCTTATGCTCCTGTTTATTTTTTCCTTCTTTTACTTTTTTTGTACTTTTTATTTCTTCACAATGTACAGTACAGTGTTCTTGGGTTTTGAAAGGCCCTTTATAAATAAAAATTATTATTATTATTATTATTATTATTATTATTATTATTATTATTATTATTATAAGGCAATTTATGAACTTGGATTAAAAACTAGTTGATGGTTTGAAAACAGAGTGGTTATAAGGGGTGAGTATTCAAATGAGGGATCAATAGAGCTGTGTTAGAACCTGCAGCTCATGATTTATATGAATGAGATTCTTGTATAGTAAACTAGTCAAGTTAGCAGATTGAGTTAATACTGTAAATAGGAGGATTAGTAAACACTGTAGTAACTGCAAAGGAAATTCAAAAAGTCTCAATTAAAGACTGGAAAATTATAAAATTCAAATTCAATAATACCCAATTTGCGATTTTCACAGTTTAATCTGCAAAAAAAGCAGTACGATTTTAATCATCTGGCCTTCAGAAGCATTCAGAACTTTGACTTTTTCTCCATGAAGCTGAAAGGGGAAATTCTGTCTTCAAAAGCTGGTGCCCTTAAACACAAGTCTCCAGGTGTTAATCTGAGATTGTGTTTAAGCAGAAGTTATGACTGTGACAGAAAATGGGGGATCTTTAGAATTAATTCATACCACCACCTCCCTGCCATTCCCAAACTGCATCTTAGCCAATCAGCAGTGCGTGCTGGGGTATCAGCCCTCCATCAACACACTGTACCTTTCTCAATCAGAAACCCTCCTCTCTGTGTGGCTCAGCATCAAAGACAGCTTTTACTGTTGCATGTGCTTGTCCTCATGTCCCGGATCTTTGATTACTCATGATTCCTCTGAATCGTATTCTGTATTCTCCCCAGTTTCAGTTCAGACTACAATTCACATTTCTGCATGCTCAAACCTTTTTTGGTATTACTGTACACTGCCTCCATGGATACAACGTCATGTACAGCTCAGTTTTCAATTTCTTCATCAAGTCTCAGGTTTGGCCAAGTCGAACAGCATGTTTTGCTACAGCCTGGAAACACCTATAAATACTGAAGCACCGGGATGCTCCAGGTCCTGGGAATAAACATGGATTATCACATCACTCTGCAATAATAGGATACACATCATGTTAATGAGGCCCAAGAGCAAGCACAAGATGGAGAAAACACAAACACAGCATCATTATCACAGCATTTATTTTATTGGGAGAAATGTAGAAATAAATTCTATAAGATCATTTACTTTCATGATCTGCCTCTTGGAACTGGTTCACTCATCTTTGCTGTCCAGTTTTGGAGAGCGCCCTATATTTGCAGTTCCTTAAGGAATCCATGCATGAGTTCTGTTTCCTTAAAAGTCTTCAAAATTATGCAGTGTGCAATTTGCTAATGGCAGGGCTACTCAATGCAGGACTAACTCTTTCCATTCATAAGTAGCAACTTCACTTGGTATAATTTGTGTAGATGAAATTCAGATTGTTACAAATATTAAAATATAATTTCTAATACATTTCCTAGTTAAGAAGCTAGAAAAATATCAGAAATGAATGATCAGATTAATTGATAATTAAAACTAATAACCATAACCCCCTAATTGTAAATATATTTTCACAATATATACCTGAGTGTTACTGTAGGTATAATTAGACAGACTCCGGTTCTTTGTTCTATGGCACAGCTTTGGGGAAAAGAGTAACAATTCAGGCACACTGGGCTAAACACATATTTATTAATAATGATAATGACACACTAAAGAAGACATACAAGCTACGCTATGTACACATTTCTAAAAAAAGCATCCCAGAGGCTTATGCCCTGACCACCCAGAAAAACCCCAGACTGCTACCAAGTATACAATTCTGATGTAATACCTACAAAGACTAAAATAAGATAAAGTTGCCTACTAAACTAATCAGAATATGACCTACAGTTAAATCTCTCTCTCTGTAAACCAAGATGCTTCAATGGGAAACTACAGTATCTCTCCATTCTACAAATGCCACCAGGAGAGGTCATTTTTAACCGAGGAATTCCTAGGAAATCTAAGTTCTTAACAACAAGCTCTCTTAATAAGGTTCAAACAGTTAACTTCTGGTCTTTATGGATGATCTGGACAAGAGCCTCTCGCCTTCTGTCTTCCTCTCCTCTCCTCTATCTCTTGTCCCTCCCCTTTTCCCTCGTCCTCTGTCCTCTTCTCTGTTCCCTTGTATGTATCATGCTGTGTTCCTAGACAGCTGATGGCACTCTTAATGATTTACCAAGAAATTAATTAACTAAGGTAAACCAAGATTAATTTTACAATTGCTTTGATCACTGAATCTCAGCCCCCTACAGCTCAGCAAATATCTCCTAATTTGAAGCTCCCAAGAACTGGAAATGTCAGGTGTTAACCATTATATCTAGACACTTCAATAGTCACAACATCTTAAAGAATTCACTTTGGGCACATAATTCAATAACATACAGCATTTTATTTTGATGATGCTTCTTAGACCTGACCATTTTATGGATTGACATGAATACAAAATAGCAAATATTCCCGACTTTGCAACTGCAGAAGTTGATCCCAAGGTCAAGATCTACGAGGGGACACATTTGTCCACAATAACAGGAGAACTCCTGACTGAAGAAACTTTGTTTTCATCGTCGCAGCTCTGCAGTGTCTCATATGGCCCTTCGTTGACAATACTGAAGCTTCTACTCCACCTAGTGTTACAACATAGGCAATACATGCAAACCACTGTCGAAACACAGCAAAGAAAACAAAAAACCTCACACTGATGCAGCTCTGCACTCTCACCACTACAACACACTTTAACAAAGATATAGCCAGACATTGCCAGATATTTAAAAAATATATATAAAAAACTATAGGTTACAAGGTGTTTTCAAGTTATCAGCCTCCGCCATTCTGGCTGTGACTGCATCTGGCTATGAACTATTCAGCCATTCGTGAAATTGATCAACCCAGTGAACGTCACCAGTATTGCAATATCAGCATACTTATAATACATACTGTATAATGTTATATATAATAATTAATAATAATAATTGCTTACAGGCCATTATTGGTAAGGGCCGATGGCAAATTTGGCCAGGATGACGGGGTTACACCCCTACACTTTTCAAGAAATGCCCTGGGATTTTTAATGACCACAGAGTCAGGACCTCGGTTTTACATCTCATCCGAAGGACGGCACCTGTTTACAATATAGTGTCCCCATCACTATACTGGGGCATTAGGACCCACATGGACCGCAGGGTGAGCGCCCCCTGCTGGCCCCACTAACACCTCTTCCAGCAGCAACCTTAGTTTTTCCCAGGTGGTCTCCCATCCAGGTACTGACCAGGCTCACACCTACTTAGCTTCAGTGGGTTGCCAGTTGTGAGTTGCAGGGTGATATGGCTGGTGGCTAATACACAATGTTATGTATATAATATACATATAATTATATATAATATATAATGTTTACTTGCTGCTGAAAGTAGGTCAGTCCACCTACATCCACAATCACCTCTAATTAGCTGTTGTACGATATGTGAAATATTCCTGTTTCAGGTAGTGTGCCTTAGTGAACTCTGCACATTAAAGACTCCACTTCAACACAGATAAAAAATGATTCGGGGTTTATTTAAACAATTCCAACAAAAACAAAAAACAAAACAAAACAGAAGACTTGTTTTGTCTAAGCACCAACTCGACTTCTTCATTTACCTTCCTAAATATACTAACCAGGCTTCTAAATTGTTTACCAGTTCCAAAATGAAAGTACTTCCAATACTTTTAGATTAGGAACCATACACTTGGGCTGTAAGCAGTCCCTGTGGCAGTGAAAAAACATTTCCTCCTCCACCCATTCTTCCTGTCATAGCCTCTTTGATCCTCCACCTTTGTTTGGATGTGAGCCAGTTTGTTGACCTCCAGTTGAGGTCTTTGCCCTGCACAGAAATTCATGCACTTTATAAACAATAAGCTTATTGATCACTTGGTTCAACAAATCTGTTTTTTTTTTCTGGTATAATATTAAAGTGTCTGTTGACATTGATATTTCTCTTGAGGTCTTCCCAATAGGTATGAACATATTTTTCTGTTATTGGCTAAGGACTGAGCTTTTCCCATTATGCATTCTTGAAAGCTCCCTCTTTTGTATGGATTTTTCAGTGCATTGATTATCTGTGCACACGACTCTTTCTGCAGGCAACATTTGGGAGCCAATTTGATGGACATAACTGAACTTCTAAGTGAGTGGTGCAGTAGTCATGAGCTCCTGTCATTGCTCTGGTGATGTGGACATTATTACACATGTTGATGATGACAAAGTGTTAGGAATGTGGATTTTACCAGGATATTTTGTCTGTTTTTCTGGTGAGGTAGGGTATAGGCAATGATAGTTTTGCTCTGAGCATTTGGAAAAGTGAAGAGTGCTATTGGAGTTGACGTTTCCAGCTCCTTCCTTGCCAGTAGTCCCTTTCCAGAGACAGGAATCTCTCCTCGCTCTGGAGTTGAAACACCATGTAGAATAAGTATGTCAACCTTCGGGATTCCAAAAAGAATTTATTTGATCCTAACATAGGAAGCTTCTGCCTCAACCCAAGTGCTTGATCAAGACCTATGCCAAGTCAGGACTAGGAGCTTCCAGACGTCACTATCCTGCTCCTGTCACCATTTGCTGATCGCCACAGGATTGGGAGAATGTGCTGGGGTTGGGAGACACCTGTAAGTGACATCTTTAATTGTGAAGAAATAATTGAAGGTCTCATTCTACTGCAGCCTCCATCTGCATGAAGAGCTAGTGAGGTATTCGAAGAAGATCATCTTTTACCTCTTCTGTTGTTAAGGACTTGTTTGCCGGAGCAAGGTTTGCTTTATATGGATACCTGGATGGCCATCAAGTAACTATCAAACTAGCAGACGTTATACTGTATATTAAGCACTGACCTCTTTCAGTTGAAAAGTGGTTTTAAACCCATATTCTGTGTCAAGATCTTGTGGATTATGGGCCATTTGAACAAGTGTGATAAACAGGCTTTAGAGCTACCCAGTGTCCTGTGCATTTATGTATAGTATTCATATTGTATCTTTTGTTGGTACTCAATTATGATAAGCCACCTCTGAATAGACACAGGATTGGGGTGGGGTCTCGGTATAGACATGTCCATTGAATGGGAACTTGATTGAGACTTAGAGCAGAGGACACAGGCTGATTAGGAGAAAGTCCTGTCCAAAGGGGATACTGTTTTCATCCAGCTGGAAGTGGCTTCGGAGCGTCAGGCAGTAGTTGGAAGGGTTTGAAAGCAGAGAGTAGCATGTGTCAGCCACCACCTGTCCAAATGTCCTGTCAGAAGATGGACCTGGTAGATAGATATGGGTAGATGGAAAAGTGGAGAGGGGAATGGATTAGAGAGAGTTTGCAGATAAAGAGTACAAGGGTATTAAAATGAGAAGACTTAGCTTATATTACAATGGGGAACTAACTATGTTGCATTCATGTTGCTACATGTGCCTTGACCCTGAACTAAGAGGAAGAGAGCACCAGTGTACAGTATTGAGGGAGAGTACAATAGGTCTGTGTGTAGAGGGATCCTACCGACAATCTTGCTGGGCAGCTCAGGAGGCATATTCAACAGGATCTTCTGCACAAGAACTGGAGGCACCTGGACACAAAGCTCACAGTCCCCATCCTTCACTGTCAACAGGGCTGGCCTGGGTCAGGACCGACAGAGCACAGCTCATCAGACAGTGTGTACAAGGCTTCACTGGGGTTATAAAATTAATAAACTGGCAATGAGGCAAAACACCCTGCACACAAAAGAGCAAACAAAAAGGCAGCAGTATAAGGTCACATGGAGAGCCTGATGTACTGTTAATGGTCAAATAGAAGATTTGGGCCAGGTGGGTGGAAATGTTAATGGGAAATTCCAGTATTCAATTAGATCTAGCACCTAAGAAAGCACTGCATAGTCAGGATGCAACTGAGGGCTAACTGTATATAAGGAAAAGTGACAGATGTACACAATATGACGAGAAACCAGATTATTTGTGTAAAATGAAAGTTGAAGAAATAAATGCCAGTAACGAAGAGCAATGCAGTAAAATCTGAGAGCTGGTATTACAAGATGCTACAGTAGTTCAGACCTGTAGTAGCGTTTGACAGCAGTGTGTGGCAGGCAGGGGTAACAGGGACTATAAATCCCATTTCTGTCTGTGCCCAGCTCAGAGCCACATCTCGCACAGCCCATGAAGGTGATGTCCTCAGAGATAGCATTCAGGATTCTCTGCAGGGGGGTGTGGCCATTCATTTGCAACGACACATTCTGGGAGCTCCCGCACTGAAACTGCAGCCCTGCGATTTGACATTTGACCTCCACGTCTCCTGGGATACAAACAACAAGGCATGTCAATGCTGTAATGTGGCATGACTGCCAGACTGTTCAAAATAGACATGTACTGCAGTTTCACCTGCCTCTGCTATGTGCTGTATGAAGGGATTCATGAAAGAAGAGCAGTCAGAGGGTTAAACTGCACTTTGTGGTATAAATTAATGATCTGTGTAAGGAGGAAGAGGAGGACTGTAAGAAGCCAGATACTCAAGATCACTTGTTTCTGCTATCAAAACATTAGAAGTAAATGATAACTCCACTTTTACATAAGCTATTGAAAACTTCCATCCTGTAGCTATCTCCTACAGTGGCTCCAATGCATTGTCAATTGTTTAGGTTTGGAGAAAAGTGATCTCTCAAATGAAGCCTGGAGATTGAGAGCAAGTTGAGCTGTCTCTGAAACAACTGTGGCAAATAAATCTGTAAATGTTATGAATTCCTGTTGATGTGAGAGTCCTTTTTACCACTACACTCTGCTACCTAATCTCTTTTAATGGAAAATCTATTACTTAGTGTGCTTGAAATTTCTTCACATTCCCTTTCTTTCTCTCTTCTAGGCCATCTAGGCCATTGATCTAGCTTTTTTCTAAAAAAAAGAAGTCTTATTTTCGTATTTCATTTGTGCACAGACCTTTTGAATGACCTCAAACCAGAATGAGGAGTTCAGAATGCACCATGATGCAGATCCCCTTGTAACTATTCATCACCCAGAACTATTTCAATACACTGAAAGCCCCTCACCTGTGTATTTCTGAGACAACAGAGTGTGGAGGTCCAGCTTCAGGATGGCCAAGGCTTGACCTGGGTGAGCCTGCCTGTGGAACTCCAATGCTCTCTTGTCACTGGGAAAGAGGGGTTCACAGGAACCCCAAGGTGTGGAATGAAGCTCCATAGCCCCTGATGTGGTATTACTCCTCACTAGTAGCACCCGGAAATCCAATACTGCACCTGAGGAGCGACAGCAGGAATCAAACACACAGAAATTCTACCTGGGCTCACACACCTAGCACTGCTCATGTGAGTGTCACCACAGAACTGGGGAACAGAGAGCACCCTGAGCCAGAATGCACTTCCCATCATTGCGCAGGTATCTGTCATTTCAAAACTCTCAAAAGTATCATGAAAAAGAAAAACACAATCTGAGATTTAAAAATTGATTTGAATTTGTTATGTACTGTAGTACCATCTAGGACCTTTAATAGCCAATACCTTAAACACACAATGAATCTGATCTGAGCTTAAAGCATAATTAGCCAAACAAGCCCAGATTGCCATGCAAGTGTTATTCATTGATAATCTTGAACATCTCACTCTAGCTCAGTCTGCCTCATCTCACCTCTGTTTCTGTTGATCTGCTGCAGCCAGGCTATGGCGGAGCCCCATAGTACCAGCACCCCCTGCTGGTCATCACCCTGCTTCACAGTCAGCACTGCCTTCTTCACTGCACCTCTCCTGGTGGAGCCCTGCACCTCTGCAGAAGTGCAGACAGAGACACAGAAATTACAGCACTGCAACTCTGCAGCAGTGCAGACAGAGAGACGGAAACTACAGCCCTGCACCTCTGCAGCAATGCAGACAGAGACTCAGACATTACAGTCCTCTTCTATTCCAGTGTGGGTTTTCTGTATTTAGATTTTATCAACAGTGTGTTGGGCAGCACAGACTTTAATGAGCCTGCGCTTGGCTGCTATTAGGCCCTTAAAACTTAGTTGGGATATTCAGGGTGCTGGTCTGGCAGTGATGTGGTTTTTGTTTATTTTCCTGTCTCTGGGACTCAGACTTCTTCCAAGCTCCTCTCCTAAAGCTTTTCTTAAAATTTAATGGTCTGCTAGTCAGACCATTAGGTTAACTGGGTATGCCTGGGTACTGGTCATGGTCCATGTCTTGCCAGCCTCTATAGACAGGAATCAGTACAGCCCTCTTTGTTCCTGTGTGGAGCAAACTATCCAGCACAACCTAGAGGACTGTTCCATCCACAGACTCCTCTGTGGAAGACTACACACCTTTCAAACAGCTGGATCATTGCTTGGCTCAAGAATTTTGTATTCACCAAATAAATTACAGTCCTGCCGTGGGGACCAACGCTCGATTACAGAAGTTTATCTCAAATTAATGAATGGCTCAGTCCTACCTTTGGTAATAAAAAAACATACCAAAATGGCCACAATGTATCTGTAACCTGTTTTTAGATTCTTATACTTTTCAGCTCTGGGAAAGTAGGTTAGAGTTTAAATTCAGTATTAGCACTAGGTTTTGGAGCTCCCCTCATTGTCAAAATTAATTTCAATGACTAGGTGCTTGGTACTAAAAATGCTTGTATAATAGGAGTGTTAAATATATGTGTCATCGCTTATTAGCTGTCCAGATAAAGAATCCACAGTTTTATTAAACATAGTATGTACTGATAGCACCTCCACAGCAAGCTATTTCTAAACCAAGTGTTTGAGAGCAGATTAAGAAATGTCTAAGCATGATAGAAAATCAATAAAGGCTTGTGCAAGTCTGAGGAGGCCTGTTCTGGACCTGGGGTCCTCCGAGACAATGCAATGGGTCCCTGGAAATACATACTGTATCTGCAAAATTCAGTGTTTTTCACAGTACTATATCTATTTGTACTGCATGTTTGAGGACCTCTTATGCGGCAGTAATTATATGGGTATACTATTTCTCATTTATGTTTTCCTTGGTCAGATTACTGGGGAATCCCTGCTGAAAGAAATGGCTGTCACTCCAGTCACAACCATTTCTTTCAGCAGGGATTCCCCATTAATCTGACCAAGGAAAACATAAATGAGCAATTGTATGTCCATATAATTACTGCGGTGACTCCACTGTGGTCAGGGAGGGTGCAATTTCCATGGTAACCACTCAAAACAAACATGCTGGCATCAGGGAGAGGTGTGTCAGGCTGCAGGCTGCGACAGAGTACCCAGCACAAAATGTAGCAGGCACCAACACCGTGGAGTGTATTTGTGGGTTTCGGTGCTCACTGTAATTTGGTTGTGCCTTGTAGCACTGACTGGCTGTGTTATCTTTAGGCAGTGAGAACAAGAGTAAGGGGAGACAGCTGCATACCTCTGATCAGGGAGGTGTCCGTGACCTGCAGCAGGGCGTGCACCAGCGTGTCAGGGCGCAATGCACTCAAACAGGTGTAGAGGATTGTTCGAGGGCTCTGGGGGACACGAAGAGGGAGAAACAGCAGAGAGGGATGTTTCTCCCTCAGGTGGCTATGGAGCTCCTCCAGGATGCCACCTTCCACACTCTCTGGCACTGTAGGGTGAAGAAAACACTCTGTCACTGTTGCTCAATTGGATGATGTCTAAGAAAATGGATGGATGTACTACAAAGTAAAGATCCATGTGCAACGTCATCATTCTTACTTTTAAGACATTGCCTCATAAAGGCAGGATATTTGTGAGTTCCAAAATCAGAAGAGTTAGACCAAAAACGAATTGGAAGAGGTTTAGTTAATACAATTTATTATTAATAAATACTATGCCATAATCCCAGATACTATACTGTAACTGTGATACTATGCTATTATCTGTATATGAATATGTGCTGAAAATTGTGATCATGTCCTCCTTGGAATTGGATTTGAGGATATGGATTCTTGTTTGATATTCATCCTCCTGGCATTATGTCTGAATGTCTTTACAGGAAAGGAAGGAGATTATGGCCAGTCAGTTGATACTGACATCCCTTGTTATTTAAATGAAACTACTACACATCTTAGTGAATTGCAACCACGTATTCCATCCTATCTTCACTAAACACAACTGTGTGGAAACATATATACTATACAGTATGTTAACATAAAGAAGCTTTAAACTGAATTGTTATTTAAATGTAAGTCTGGTTTCATGCTAATTCTTTGTGCTCTGCTTACTTCCTTCTTGTTATGTTAAAAATTAAATGTATTTAACTTTAGAAAAGAACCATGTTAAGGCTTCAGGAACTAGATGCAGTCTCAATGAGTGGTACTAAAAATGCTTATATAATAGGAGTGATAGAATGATCACTTAAATGGAAAAGTAAAGGTTAACATATTGTATCACATCACTACAGCTCAAATATTGTGCATTTCACTCTTTGTTTCTTTTCACCATGGAATCAACATTTCCTTCGTCCTTTTTTAGAGAGAGGATTGTTTTATTTACACATACACCTCAGACCATTGTTTTGAAGTTTCTAATCAGTACCGGATCAGAAACTTCAAAACAATAGAAAATGTCAAAAGAGACATTTCAAAGATAGAAAGAAAGTCCTTCAGAAAAAAAGCTAAGACAGCAGGAAGGGTAACATGTTATTTGACATTTCCTGATGAATTATGAAGAACTGGCCACATGGAATACTAACACAGGGGCAGGTCCCCTCTGAGGATGGCACGAGGGGCTGACACTCACCTTGCAGCTGAAGGCTGGGGGAGGCCTGGCCCAGATTCAACAGTGTGCTGGTGTAGGTAGACTGCAGTACCAACTCACCCCTCCACCGGTCTTCACTGACAGTCAGGTCTGCCACACAGAGCACAGTCACACAGTACAACCTGCACAGTGCTACACCTTCAAAAACCAGAGACCCATCCACTGCCTGAATTGAATCACCTGAGGTCCGCCTGTTGTCACTTCCCTTCCTCTTGTGTGTGACAGCTGGACTATTTACGGTGGAGACCCTCTGACAAAGCTGGTCAAGGTGCAGGCCATGACCCCTGTATTTGTCTTATAGTGAATCTCCAAAAATCTTGGAATTGCCAAGGTTTATATAACCACTTCCTATACAAATTACAGCCTTTTGCATGGGCAATTGCTCCTGGGCTTGCAACAACACACAGGACATCGCTTAGTGTGGTATATGTGCCTGTCCTGTCATATGTTCTTTAGCACTTGATCATGGCTGCTCATTTTAACCTGACAGGACTTGCATAATAAAAATGTGTATATACAGTATAAAAAACTTATTCTAAAAAGAAGGTGAAACGTCTCAGCCTTCTACGTGTAAAATGCCTCATGCAAGGATACTGCTGAATTTCCATCCTTTGGTTGTCAGAGAGCTGACACACAGGCGTGGCTGAACTGGGTGGAAGTGGCTGAAAGTAGCAAGGTATCGAAAAGGAAGTGTGTTGGAGTCTGATGAGAGGCTTGAAGTTGATGATTAAGTCTTGTTCACAAACATGCTGCCTCACATGCACACCTACACTCATACACATTGCAACAACCGGGAAACAGGTATTTTCCACTTAATGTGAAGTCGACTTCAGAAATATAAAAAGAAACGTTGCGAAAATGGCCATCTTTTTCTTAAAAGCAGACCATGAAGTTATAATAAGTCCACAATATGAACACTGACAGCTTTGAATTTAATAATAATGGAGATGATGAAAAGCTGTAGGAAGAGAACAGTTTGTACAGGCTCAATACGATTGACAATTGTGGCATTTTAGATATAAATAAGTACTAGCTTTCCTTAATGGAAAGCATACTGTTGCACAATTCAAGTATGAACTTTTAAAGGTCTACCTCCTTTATTAATACTGGATATGCTCAAGCTGCTGAATATGAATCGGAGACAGGAGGCCAGTTTGTTACCTGTGATCAACAGCAGGTCTCCTGGGTACACAGTCAGGGCCCAGAATGCCTTAGTCCTCCACAAGACCACCTTCATCTTGGCTCCTGACTGGTCAGTTACAACAATGGTTGCTAGGGGAACCATGGAGCCTGCAGAGAACCCAGATTTGACTTTGATCTCCTTCAGATGGCAGGGGTGCAGCACACCCACCAGGACGCGATAGTGCTTTCCCCTGTCCACACATCTGCTCAGGAGGGTTGTGGTGAGCGAGCCAGCTCTGCTCCTTGTCTGTCCTTGGTGTGCGCAGGCCTCGTCATCAGGCGAGGCCACTCTGCTCTTCTTGGAGACAGGGGAGCCTGGAGATATAGATAAAGGGAACCTGGAGTGTGGGGCTGTCTGTTCTGAGGCCTCTTGATCCAAGTCCCTGTTCCTCTTGGCAAAGGAAGTGCCCTGAGAGCAGAGAAGCCCTACAGATCTGGCCTCTATCACTACTCCCCCTTCCTTCTGTTGTTCACTCAGGGTGTCAAAGAGTTCCACAGAACCCCTGAGAGTTCCCTGCACCACTGGATTCACATCGCTCCATGGGCTGTACAGCTCCAGGGAGCTGCCTGAGATGGTCTCTGAAGTGTGTTCGGAGGCACATCCCACCTTGTCCCCCCCTTTGACTCCCACCTCTGCACCCATCTGTCCCTTCAGCAGCACAGCCTGGCTCACAGTGCACACGCTGAGGTACTCTGTCTCCAGAGACAAGCCTGGCACGACTCTCTTGGCCTCAGGGCCTTGTCTGTGAGCAGGGAAGCAGCTATCCAGATATTCCCTGACGGCCGCAGGAGGCGATTCTTGCAGTCTGCTGGTGACCTGGGATTCCGGACTCTCTGAGGGACTGGCCCCTTGCTCCCCTAGAAGATGCACTTCCTCTTGGTCTCTTCCACTTCCTGAAAAACTGGTAGGATTGTTGAGGGTTTTGTCTGCTCCGATGCTCAGTCTATGCAAAACGTGGTTGGCAAGGCTTACGCAATCCAACCCCTTGGCCTTTGCCGAAGAGGCGCTCTCTGTGGTGCTGACCTTATCCAGCCAGTGACAATCGCTCAGCACACGGCAGTGTGCGCTGCTCCCAGCCCCAAACACTCCAGACTCCCCTTCTGTCGACTCTGGGGCAGAATTCAGCCTCCCTAATTGAAACCGGAGCTGCATTCTCTGCCACTGTCCAGGGGCATCTTTCTCGGGACTGCAGGGTCTCTCTGTTTTCTTCCTGAGGGGGGGTTTTGGTGCGCCAAGGAACACATAGGTTTTTGATGTGCCAGCCATGCTACTGCAGAGTGATTGAAGACTGTCACCTCAGCATTTATGGAGTTCCCTATCCATTAGTTCTTCTTTATAGAACAGGTCTCCTGTGAACAGAGCAAGCTGTTTAACTTTTGGGGCTGAACAGCAGTTGAACACCAAGGCTCTAGCCCTCTTCCTCATGACCACAGGCTTGTGTGATATTGGAACAAGTAATAGGTTTATTCCATGCTGAAAAAAAGAAGAAAGAGAACACAACGTTTCGGCCATGGACCCTTCTTCAGGTGTGATATTTGTGTGATATTGCCTGCTTGTCCTTGACATTATTCTGCTGTTAATTTCAGCAGGTCAAACAACATCACACTCCCGGCGATATCTCACTGACACAATCTGGAACAACGAAACTGTCACAGGTAAGCAGTGCCCTGCTTCACTAAATGGCAATACAATACAGCAGGTAAGAAATACACTTTAGCCTTCCCCTTAACCTGCATTCATTCATAATCCCAAAACTACAACTGAAAAAACCCTCCCTCTCAGATCCTAGTAGCTGTAGGATAACCCCAGGCATTCAAAACTATCTTAGCCCTACTCCCGTCATTTTTCCTTATCTGTGTTGTCAAATACAGTGTCTTTAAGTTTTGTTTGCACAGGCATAAAATAACACTGTAATTTCATCTCAAGCCAAGGGACTAACAAATCTTATTTGTGAATGCCAGCCTCCATCTTGAGCTAATTCAGGAGTCTGGCAGACAGCAGCTGTCTGTGTCATGTGACTGCGGCCATCCTAAATAGCAAAATCCCCCCTGCCTTGAGACTTCCTGCACAGCCAACACCCCCTGCACTGCCACACAATCACCTGCAGGTGGAGACAATGCTCAGAGACCGTGACATTGGCAGGAAGCCACAGAGATCTGCTCTCACTGGCAGCTCTTCTATGCTCTTGGGAGAGATGATTTGCCAGACAAGGTGAAATTCTAATTTGCATTTTTGCATTGTCCTGTCAGTATATATCCTTTTACAGATGTAATCCACACCCATTGAGCTCCCTACAGGAACAATTTTTTTATTTTCTCAAGAGAAGATGAGTGGTACTCTACCATATAGTACAGCTACTACAAAAGAAGAAATTAAAAGGGGTGGGTTGCTGTTAAAACACAGGCAGTAGTCTGAAGGGCTTATTTTAAACAACCACAATAGTGTTCCCAGCAGAGACCAGGGCTCTTTCACTTGTCTTCATGTAAGGTTCATTAGGAAAATCAGGTATCAGTTTGCCATCTCCTGGGAGAAAAAAAAACTGTCATGAAAAAAGCCTTCTTTCAGGATCTTAAACAGTTTTTACTACACAAGGTTACGTAGTTGACACCACAAGAAAACAACATAACAAATTGGAGATCTGTCTGGTCTTTAAGTCAGTGCTCTGTGCCTAATCATCCAGGTGGATGCTGCACGTTGGTGGTGGTAGAGAGGAGTCCCCATTTCCTGTGAAAGCGTTTTGAGTGGAGTGTCCAGAAAAGCAATATATAAGTGTAAGCAATTATTATTATTATTATTATTATTATTATTAATGTAGGACAGACAAAGTCTTGTTATCCCCGCAAAACCGGACACAAACAATAAAGGAGCATAATCTAGACTGTGTACCATTAAAATCACTTAAGTCTCTCTTACCGTTCCCTGCCTTCCTTCGTTTACAGCTCTTATATCCCTCAGTTGACTTTTACTGCACACACCTGGGCTCAATTACTGAGTTGTCAGCAGCCATTTTCCCTCAGTGCCTACTCTAAACCCAGATAAGAAGCAAAATGGCTGTCACCTATAGAATGTCATCGTACACACAAGCCACAATGCAAAAACTCACTGCTCTGTGTTTTTACAGTGCAGTTGATGAAGTAGTACCAAAAGTCCTAAGGACACCTCAGGTGAGTCTTCCATTCACAAACATAGACTCCTTCACACAAAGCTAATAGATTTCTCTTCCTTGTAATTAGGATAGCGCATCAGATTAGAAAGAAATTTCCAGGAAACTGAAATCCATTGACCCAGTTAGCCATAACTGTTCAATACATAAGAACCTAAGAAAGGGTACAAGCGAGAGGATCTACAATCTAGCCTGTTTGGATAATTTAACTCAGAACTCAATTATGAGTCCAGCTGTTCTTGAAAGAAACCAGTTCAACAATATGGCTGGAAAGCTCCTTTCATAATCCACAACCTATTCCCAGGAAACACACTCATCCCATTCTCTTACCATGTTCATTCCCAGGAGACACACTGATCCAGTTTCCCAACTCTATCCATTCCCATGACGTATTAATCCCATTTTCACAATGCTATTAATTCTGTAATCATTTACTATAAGCCTTCTGTACCAAAATTAATGTGTGAGCATCTTTGTCAGGCTCTGCATAAGGTGACACGGCTAAGATAGCAGATACTACTGTGTTTGTTTCTGTTCCAGCTGTGCATGCTGTCTTGGCACGGAATTATTACTGTCCACAGTTGAATATGGCCAGACTCTGTACTAAAGAGTGACTGTGGGAGCTGAGCCCTGTAGAATGCTAGACATAGGGTATTCTTATTCCCAGATCACTATCTTTTCCAAGGGATTTCTGTATCATTCTGTACTTAAGAGCTTATTAGTTCACTCTTGGCAATCCGAACTATGAATTAAAGTTTCATTCCAATGCTGTTGGTGCCTGGAAGAGACGACCTGAATTCACTAGAGAAGCCAGATGGGTGAGCTCTGGAACACTCTTCGCATCATAGGCACTCACTGGCACTTACACAGGTGAACTTACCACTCTGACAGACACTGGTACTGTGCCGGGACTCTCATGTACAGTATTCACATCACATCAATAGGGAGCAGTGTGGAGAAGTGGTTAGACCTGAGGACTGCAGGTTCAAATCCTAGGAGGGACACAGCTGCAGCTCCTTTGAGCAGGGAACTTTACTCATATTGCTCCAGTAAAACACTCAGCCATGTAAATGGGTCTCCAGGTCATCAGTGTTAATAGGAATTTGTTTTCAATAAATGTATCTGAAATAAAAATGAATACTTATATATTTTATATTTTATACAGTAGTACTGAACAACATGACAGATTTGGTAGTGGATAATACTATTCCTAAAGCACACAATAATGCTCTGTGAGCTTTGATTAGTGCAGTGATTGTGTGCTTTCCAACACACATTTGGTTAAAACATTAATTTACAGAAAGCAAAACAATTTTTTGCAGACCACAGTGTTTAGCTTAGAAAACAAAACATCTGACAAACAAAACTGCTGGCAGGTCACAACTGTTCAGGGTTCCCCTTTTATTTCCTTCTGTTTTGAGACAGATGTGCATTCAGGGAACTAAAAAATATACCAAAAAACAGAAAAGTTACAGACAAGAGCTTATTCCACACCCCTACAACTCCTTGTGTGTTCCATGTTCTGTAGTTTCCACTTGTGGAAAACTCTGGTTTTTGATTCTGGAGAAGTTGGTTGGGTTGACTTTGCCAGTGCCTTTGAAGCAACTACCACAATAAAGCTAAGGTTCTGTACGATTTTACTATGTTTCCATTGACGTTAACAAGCTTACTTCTGGGTGATTGGAAGATACAAAATATAGTATTTTACTGTTTTTCAGCTCCTGCCAATTACATTACAGACATCACAGGGTCTGCTCTCCTGCCCATTTGGGGGCAACTGCTGTTGTGTTTGCAGCCCTGTTGGAGCCACAGACCACAGACTAAATTTAAAAAAATAAATCGGGCCTGGCTTCACACTTCTCACTGCAGATGCCTCTGATCTTTACATCATTTGAAAATGGGCAGTACAATTTAAGAATTTCCCACTGGAATATAGAGATTTAGACAGATCTTAGCAATATTTCTTGAAACTACATGTAAAAGACTTGTAAAGAAAAAGGTCAGAGAGATTCCAGGAGCTACATTTTAAAGGAACAGACTGGCACTGAAACCGGTTTAGTAAACACAGACCAGAATAAGATCACTTTATTGGCCATATACAATTTCTTGTATTAGGAATTTGTCTTTTCACATACCCCAGCTTGCTCTCCATGAGACACACAGACTGGAAGAGTAGCTTGGGGTCAGAGCACAGGGTGAGCCATTTATATGGCTATTTATACGAGTTGGGGTTAAGGGCCTTGCTCAGGGGCCCAACGGGGAAGAGTTCCTCTGCCGGCTGGGGGATACAAACCAACAACGTTCCAGCCATAGGAGAAGATCTTTAGCCACAGTGCCACTGCACTGCCCCGATCTCACTCCAATAATACACTCCAATTGAGTGTATTGTATTATTGTATTGGAGGAAACACTCCAACCTCACAAGAGGAGACCGAGGAGACCACTCAGTCCATCCTGCTTGCTTTGTCACTAGCAATTTGCCGGGCAGAGAATCTCTGTCTTCTGTCATATGGCAGAGCCTCTTGTTTCAGACACTCACCACCCTTTGCGTTAAGATGTACTCTTATTTAAACAAAACTTACATTATTTTCTTAATATGGAAAATTGCAATAATGGGTAAATGTAATCAGATTTGCTTTTACTAAGTAGAAAATCTAAGATTTTACTAAGTAGAAAATCTTTTACTGAAGTCTGGAAATGATAAATGATTTTGTGGAATAAGAGTTTTGGAGCAAGGATGTATTTATATAAACATGTATTTTCACCTCAAGTTACTAATTATGCAAAGCTAAACCATTATTCTTCTGTGAGGGTATATTATAAGAGGCCATAGTGCCTGTGGAGGAACTCTATGGCTCACATCATGTGTTTGCACGTCTCACTACCTCCTGAGTGTGAAATCACAAACAGTGTAGCAACTGCGAGGTGCAGAGTAGGAGTAGGAGTAGCTCTGTAATGGGCTTTAAAAACTATCACCCATCGTCAAGAGACACAGCAGCTCTATTAACTGAGGAGAAGAACTCATTCTTCAAAGATCTGCTCATCCACTTGACCTTTACATTCATGAGCGGCCATCGCTAATCCACACATCTTCAATCTGCTTGTCAACACGGACAATAGGCCGTGGATTCTGGCACGGGCTGTTTCCTGATTGATCTTGGTTTTATGAGGAGTATGTGTAAAGGGATAACATTTCTAATTAGAAGAGCCATTAAGGTTACGCTTCTGAGACAGGCAGTTGTTGCAAACAGTAAATCCACTGCACAGTGTTATGTCAAATGCATTTTAAAACCTACTTCTCCTTGTTACTCCTCCAAAAAATAAATATACATTTCAACATGAGCGCTCCAGATCTCTATCAGAAAGTATAATTCCAGACTTTCTTTCTCAGTGTGGGATTGGTCAATGTTTTGCCAGGAGCCAGGAGAGCCCAGTGTAAGGAACCCCAACCCTGCATCCAGTGGCACTTCAGCTATGTTTCAGGGCTTGGGTAATGCAGATCACAGCCAATAACATAGTTCATCCTACCTCTGAAAAGAGCACAATTACTGTCTCGGCCACTAGGGGGGTCCAGAAGCTTATTTACAGTTTTAATTATTTGTTTTGCGACAGCCAGAACGTCTGGAATGAACAGAACCGCATCCTGACTTGTGCTGATGAACATTGGTTCCACTGTGCCAATCTATAGGATGCATATACTTAAGAATTAAATACAAGTACATACAAGATGGTTGTCAAAACAAACGAGACACACCTGTCATCTTTTTCCAAACAATATCTACAGCTCCAGCCTTCCTAACATCATTCTCTGCTCTGCTCCTGGTCAAAGATCCTGTTCTCTCTAGGCTGGACTGCTGCCGCTCTGTCCTAGCTAGGCTCCCAACATCAGCAACCCTCCCACTGCAGCCCATCCAGAGCTCTGCAGATGGCTTCCTTTTCTCCCTGCCTGTCTCCTGCGCTCTCTGCAGTGCCTGGTGTCTCTGCCCAAAGTCCTGCCTCAGTCCCCTCCTATCTCCCACCCCATCTCTCGGCTCATCTGGTGGTCTCTTGTGCTGCTCATACTCCTCCCTGTCACCCAGTGCAGGCAGTTTCCCTCTCTTGTACCCTCTCTGACCCTCCTCTCCAGCCTTCTTGATCACTGAAATTCCTGCATCGTATATCGATATGCTTTTGTCTCAATGAAGAGTTAATATTTAGGATTTTCAGATTTTTGCACCGTGTTTCATTTTGGTAATTTCTATGCATTATCTGATAATACTGAAACATTTATCCCACCCTGTACAATGTATTTTGACATATTCTAGTTGAATATTCTAGTTGACTGGCAGTAAACTGAACAGAGGATCCATCTAAATAATAATAATAATAATAATAATAATAATAATAATAATAAATCTTTTATATTAAAAAGTGGCTTCACAGAACAACAACAGCAAAAAAGAACATATTGAGAGGAGATAGTAGATTGCATATTGAATATGGTAGGAAAGCAAAGGGGTACACCAGTACAGAACCGGTTAAATAAAACTCCTCCTAGAAAAGAAGGTCTAGATTTGAAAGTCTACATTTGAAATATCTAGAAGATATAGAAGAGCTCAGGGAAGATGACTCTCCTTAGGGATAGAGTTCCAGAGCTTTGGGGTGCATCAGGAGAAGGCCCCACCAACAGAGTGAAGACATGCTTGAAGGACAGACAGGAGATCGGAGTTAGATGACAGAAGGTTGCGAGGTGGGTAATAATAACACTTATACACTTATATAGCGCTTTTCTGGACACTCTACTCAAAGCGCTTTACAGGTAATGGGGACTCCCCTCCGCCACCTGGATGATGCGACAGCAGCCATAGTGCGCCAGAACGCTCACCACACATCAGCTTTCAGTGGGGAGGAGAGCAGAGTAATGTAGCCAATTCATAGAGGGGGATTATTAGGAGGCCATGATTGGTAAGGGCCAATGGGAAATTTGGCCAGGACGCCGGGGCTACACCCCTACTCTTTTCGAGAAACGCCCTGGGATTTTTAATGACCACAGAGAGCCAGGACCTCGGTTTTACGAAGGATGGCACCTGTTTACATTATAGTGTCCCCGTCACTATACTGGGGCATTAGGACCCACGTGGACCGCAGGGTGAGTACCCCCTGCTGGCCCCACTAACACCTCTTCAGCAGCAACCTTAGTTTTTCCCAGGAGGTCTCCCATCCAGGTACTGACCAGGCTCACACCTGCTTAGCTTCAGTGGGTTGCCAGGTGTGAGTTGCAGGGTGATATGCTGCTGGCATTAGTAGTAGGACGTAGTAGGACGTAGTAGGGGTAGTAGGACGATATTAGTTCAGAAGGATACTGAGATGCCAAGCCAAACAGAGCCTTGTTTGTGAACAGCAGGATTTTGAAAGTGACCTGAAACCTGACAGGAAGCCAGTGCAAGGACTTTAGGTTAGGAGTAATGTGATTACCTACACTAGACCTGGTCAGGATTCTGACTGTCGAATTCTGGACATACTGTTCAATATGGATTTAGTTACTACTGCAAGTAAGCCATTACAGTAGGCAATACAATAAATAAAAAAAATGGTTGACCAGCTTTTCAGCAACAGTTAGAGACAACATAGGACATAGTCATAATGATCATCATCATCCCTTTTTTGTTACTAGTATTTTGGGTGTTCAAACATCTTCTTGAACAGTGTTTCCCAGTTTTGATCCTGCTGTATGTCTGTCTTTATTCCAGCTGTGCTCTTTCTTAAATTATGCGCACTGAACCTTTCAGTCAGACCAGGTGTTCAACGCTGAGAATGCTCATTATGTGTCACAGTGTAATTTTCACCTGTGCATCATTAATTGATGAATAATCAGTTAATTGAGCAACATTTTTCAAATAAGTTGAAACACATCTGTCTGGCATATGTCTTAGATGCAATACATTTACAATATATAAAAGAGATTATTACTGAACCTATGAACTGAGTGCAGAAAATAGGTAAGTTAACACATTTGAGGTGCCGAATGGCCTCTTCTTATGTTCTACCTGTCCAGGTATAAAGATTAGCTTTCTGCCCTAACCTCACGTAATGAGGTGCTTATGTGTTCCTGTCTACTCCCAGCTGCATTTGGCCTGCTTTCATCCTCTCCTCGCTTGGATTCATCTGTGGAATTTATGTATCATCGAGCCAAATTCTTTACATACTGTATGTGACCCCTCTTGTTCACAGCCAGACGTTTCCATGGGCAACACATCTTACTGATGAACTCTCACAAAGAGCTTTAAGTAGCTAAAGCTAATATTTTTTAGTGTTTTGCATATAAGCAGGACACTTGTAAGAAAATATTTACCAGAATCTTGGGAAGGACCCATTGGTTACAAAACACAAAACAGCTCCATCCTTAATATCCCCAACACACACTGCACAAACATTCAGGGACTTCAATTATGACCTGAAAAAATAAATAAATGTACAGTCCATACAAAATAAGTCGGATTTCAACTTATAAGACAGTAATAATAAAATACTAAACAATTCTATCATTTCTGATGGAAGAAGCCATTGTTGTGTTAAGCTGCCACTTGTTTCTAATGTTGCATTTGTTGTGTGACGGAAAGCCAACAACTGCCCCCCACAAAAAACAGACACACCAGGAGGAAAAAATGTTGCCAATCCACCATCCCATTAGCAATAGGACATTGTAAAAGATGTTTTTCTATGCCCCTCAGCACCATTGAGTCCTGAATCTATCACTGTGCATGAGACAAAATTCAATTTTCTCTCCCTTTCTCTCTGTCTCATTTTCACTCCCTGTCTTTGCAAACTTAAAGTCATTCCTTTCCTGTAAACATCAGAAGGAAGGCCCCATATGTTTAGGCTATTGACAGAGAACTTAAAAATAAAAGGGTTTCAAAAACAGCCCCATTCTTTGAATCATTAGGCTTTTCCTGGAAAATGTGAAAGAAAAAAGCAGTCTAATTTACCGCCCCTCCTGCACATTCACCCCCCCCGCCTCCATGGCAGCCTCTTCGCCAAGCCTGTGGGTGTTGTCTGTGAGGCAGCCAATCGCAGCTGTGCTGTCCCTCTGAAACAGGGCTGTGATTGATTACACCACTCCTGTTTGGAGACCAGGGCCTGTTTTCAGGAATGTTGAAAACAGACAAGTCAAGAGCAAAAGAACTTGGGAAGAGTGAGGAGGAAAGGAGAGAAAAGAATGAGCTGGGGTCCCAGGGAACTGCCGACTGAGGTCAGTGTGGGGTCACTAAGGAGGACTGTGGGCAGACTGAGAGGTTAGGGTCAGTATACAGGACTGTAGACAGTGCAAGGGATTAGGGTCAGTGTGGGACTGTATGGAGGTTATTGTGGGTACTGTATGGGTTAATTGTGGCGGACTGGGTATAGCGTGAAGAACTGGAGCTGTCTAGGTCCTTGGATAATTACAGCTTGGCTATAACCAGATATTCACAGATGACTTAATCACAACTGTGCCTCTGGTGAAGTCACCTACATCAGCTGTCTGTTCCACAGGAGCAAACACTGAGCACAAGGCCTGATACACTAAATAACAGTTCTAAGGAATAACAGGACATATCATGTATTGGGCCATTCCACTATTTTGGATAGGAATGGTCACTCCTATGTAATGTACAGTACCAATCTTTAATACACTGTTAGGGCAGTGAGTATACTGTATGTGGCACTAAATGTTCCTAAAGGTCAGTGCTTCAGTGCAATCTGAACTATAAAGGAAGAGACACCAGCATGAAAAGACAGAGACGCAGATCACAATCAGTGAGAAATATTATAGTTCTTAGACACACTCTAAGGTCCAATTATTCATCCTGCCATTTTCTCACCACTTCACCATTTCTTCCAATTCAAAGGTATGACAGGACAGCAGTCAATTGCAGGGCACAAACTCACACCAGGGCTAATTTTCCCAGAAGCCAATTAATCTACCAGTATGTCTTTAGACTGAGCTAGAAAATCCACGTAAACTCTGAGAGGACATGCAAACTCCACATAGACAGCACCCCAGGTCCAGAATTAAATCCAGAACCCAAGTGCTGCAAGGCAGCAATGCAAACAACTGTGCCACTGTGCCTCCCATGTCCAATTATGAGTCATTAAAAATTTTATAACATAGATCTCTGTTTCTTTAAATTGAGAAGTCTTGCAACCAAGAATGTAGAGTAGATGAATGTCACAGATCCACAGACCCGAACAGACAGAAACCTGTCTATATCTAATGGCGTGGTGTTGTGCTCCAAGCAGGGCCCTTATGCAGGTTATAAAGCAGAAGGCTAATTTTTGTCCCACAGGTGCACAAGCACTGGGAAACACTGCTCAATTCCTCAACGTGTTTATGGGCAGTGGTGATCATGCCTGTGTACGAAGGCGAAGCAGTTAAACTTGGTTCTGCACTGAAAAAATAAACAACAGAATGTTTGGGCGTGTCTTTTTAATTTGCCTGAAGAAGGCAAGCTTCAGTTTCTGGTGTTCAGGCTATTTTTCCATTGCCTCATTTCCAGTCTGTGGGAGTGTGAAGCCACGCAGAACTGCCAGGTTATATTTTGGGAAGGGGGTGGAACTGGCCAGGCCATGCAGACCTCCTGCTCCTTCAGCCCAGAGCAGGTGAAGCCCGGGGGCTGACTGCATGCTAATTCATTAATGCTCAATGGAAACGCCCAAGATGCTGCAGTATAATTAATCTACTACCAGCAGGAAAATAACCTACATGGATAATATTCAAGCACACTCTCTGATACTAAGTAACTACAAACTGAGTGGCTATAAACACAGCTTTGTCAGAACTCTGAAAATCGGTGCCTTAAATGTAATCCTCTAATGATTTTTCGCCTCACGGAAGTTTCGGAAGCCCTCAGAAACTTTCTGGAACCTTGTAGAAATTAGCTTGATGGTTACTGGGTGTATAAGTGGACTAGATGCAAGCACTCAACTTTCTGAACAGTGCTGTCAGCAGTATAACTGACACGAAAAGGTTAAACTCACATTGCGAAGAACATCATCCCTTCTGTGAATAACAAAAATGGCACTGTTCTGCTTTGGTGCTGGTGTGTATCCTCTGGTCCTGGTGGCCTTGATGAACTGAGGGATTAACAGATTTCAAAGTATATTAAGATACTGTATTTTATCCAAATCCTACACAGAATCCACAGAATCTACTGCCACATGGTTAATGCAACATAAAATGTATGTTGTTGATTGGCCATCATAAATCTCAGACCAATGTAACATTTACTGTACTGCTCAAGTTGTAAAATCTGAAGGCGTAGGAGACTTTCTGCCCAGAGGAACAAATAAAAATCCTACTGACAAGAGCTAATCCTATTAAAACACTACAAGAAGTACAATACCTGCTCCATGTTATCAATGACAAAGCCGGATGAATAAAATACTGATTGTATAGATGTGACTAATTTTGTGTTAACATTGTGTATTTACAAAAATATGCAATTATTTGGACAGATTTGTTTTTACAATTTCCACTGCAGATAGCTAAACCAATGTTCAGTATCACTGTTACAAGGAAATGAATCAGTTTGGTGGCTGTTGTAACTATGCATACAACACAGGAGGTCCCAGAATGGAGCCCTAAGGTACACAGTGAGACCAATCTGGACCTGCACCCACCGAGGAGACAAGGCAATACGAACTTAACAAGCTGAAGGCAGACCCAGATAAAGCAACTGCTCTCCAGCAAGTGAATATCAGGGCTCATCGTATAAAAAGCAGTACCAAGGTCCAGTTGAACCATACAGAGCAGCCCCTTAGTCTGAAGCAGATATTGTTTCCAAGCACGCACATGCAGTTAGCCAGATACTTTGTCAAACACTTTTGTGTGACAAATTCCTCTGTTATCAGTGTCTTCAAATCACCAAAGTCTTTATGCCTCTCCCTTGATCTACTCTGAGTTTCTTAGTGTGCTCTTGATCTAGATGGCACATCCCACCACTAGGTTCAAGCTACATAGAGTTGAGCACATCCAAATGCTAATGGGAACAGAGTATAAGCTGCAGATCAACTAAGATTAATAACATAACTACAGCTTTTAAATAAAGTATATTCAACTGATCAGGAAAGAGCTAGATATTGCTGGTGTAGACACACTCAGAACAGAAGGATAACTAATTCATCTGAATGAAGGTTATCTAACTCGGGCAGGATGAAGCACACTGAGGTGGTGGAAAAGAGAGGGTGTGAAGTGTGCGCACAACTTCTTTACTTTAACCACTAGACATCTTAAGCTTCTGTGACCGCAACAGAGTTCAACAGAGTGAAAGAGTAAGTCAGAGAGTCAGAGAGTCAGAGAGTCAGTGTCACAGTCAGAGTGTCAGAGAGTCAGAGAGTCTCTGACTGAGAATCGTATTGTCACATCGATTATCGAGAGAGAGAATTGAATTAAATTGAATTGAGAGGCAGCACAGAAGATGAGCTCCTAATTTCTTTGAGATTTTAATTGTTTTCTGGAACTGAACAAATAGTCTAGGAATAAGGCAACATCTAGCAAAACTAAAGAAAACTACAGAAGTAAAGAAATAATTTGCCATTGGAAAAAAAAAACAACAAAGCAAACATCTAAAAAACTGAAGATCAACTATAAGACACAGCTACACCTGAGGATAAAGGACCTGAGGAAAAACTCCAAAAAGAAAAATCCCCAAGAGATGAAGAGGAACAAACAGAAAAGAAATCATTAAAACAAGGATATAAGAATAAGAAGACAAGAAAGAAAGAGAAAAAGTACACCAAAGGAAACAAGAAGGAAAGGGAAAGCAGCATCAAGAGAAGCCAAGAACTCAGCCATCAACACCAAAAACACCTGGTAAGCCCTGTTCTTTCTTCTCCTTTCTTGAAGAGGCCTCTAAAAAATTGAACTGCTTTGCTAGATAAAAGTTTAAAAAGTCTTTAGAAAAAGTTACCTTAAAGTTTAAATTAAACAAAATATCACTTGGGCCCACTACACTCAAAAGGCCAAAGTTGAAGAACCTGTTCCCAAGCAACAGGGGGCTGATTGTATTCAAAATGCCCGAGCCAGGCCGTCTGTTTGCTCTTCTCACCTGGGCACATTGTATTTTTTAAAAGAGCAAGATGAGTACAGAGCAGAACACAGCCCCACTGGACCAGCCCTGCCCCCTCAGCACAGTACTCCAGTACCCTGAGGAAGTGAAAACCGTTAAGACCAGGAAACAGTACAAAGACTCCTGGATGAAAGAAAACCCAGAGACCCTCATTGCTGACTATTGCCAGGCAGGAGAAAAACACATAAAAACCAATCTGCTCTTTTTTACTGAGCATCCGAATGCCTGGCACACAGCTGTGTGTAAGAATTATACAAACACCACCAGAAGGGGCATCAGCAAAGGCAGGCAAATCTCCATAGGGGGCAACAGCGAGGTAGAAGACACTGACCTGACCGTCAACACCTACCACAATGGTACAGTGATGATACAGGGCAGTGAGGCCGCTCTGGAGCTTTTCGAGGAAAAGTTCACAGACCTTAAAACACAGGCCGACCTGGAGAAACCTCCCCCAGAAACAGGAGAGAGACCCAGCAGCCTGATGCCCGCCACACCGGAGAGTTCAGCTCCACCTGACACGGAGCCCACAAACACAGCCTCACCCACAGAACAGCCCAGCAAGAGTGTAGCCCTCGGCAACACGGAAACACACCACCTGGACACTCACAGCCCACATCAACCCCCCTGTGACCACAGCACAGTGCGCCTCCTGAGAGAGAAACTCTCTGCTCTGGAGCTGGACTTCACTGAGTTCAAGGAGCTGATGCTGGGGAGACTCACAGAGGGGCAGACAGCAGAACAGCTAAGAGACGAGGTTAACAAACACAGGAACGAATGTAAAACCTCCAACAAACAGCTCAGGGCACAGATGGAAGAGCTGCTGTGGGACAACAGTAAGCTGCAGTCTGAAGTAGCAGAGCTGAGAGAGGAGCTGCAGCTCGCGGAGAGGACAAGCAAGACTCTCAAAGACCAGCTGAGGAACCTCACTACTTCCCACTGTAGCCCTGACTGCAACAGAACAGCCCTGAGACCCAGAACACACAACACACAACACCCACCACCAACCCGCAAAGACACACCCACCTCCACACAACCTGACACCCCTACAACCCCCACCACCAACTCCCACTTACCCAGTACCCCCACCGTAGCAAACACCACACCCACTGCACCCCCTGGCACCCCAAATCCCCTCACAACTCTATTGCCCAAAAGCATCCACCTTGCCGAACACTCAGGGTGACCCACACACACACCCGGCCCCACCCAACTCCTCCACCTCACACACTGCACCCCCCCAAGCAGCCCCCCGCCCGGCAGCACAGCGCCCCTCCAGCATACTGGACACCAGAGGCAGACGCTTGGAAGTAGCCCTTCTCATCGACTCCAACGGGAGGTACATCGATGAGCACAGGCACAGGATTACAAACAGCAAAGTTCTGGTGTCCGACGACAGAGAAGGCCCTGCAGCTGCTGTCCAGGTCGGTACTGGGAGCCCCTCAGCACATCATCATCCACACCGGCACCAACGACTTGAGGACCCAGAGGGAGCAGGTGGCCCAGTCCATCAGGAGAGTGGTAGAGAGGGCCATAAAGGAGTTCCCTCGTGCCCGAATTGTCATCTCCACCCTGCTGCCGAGACAGGACAAGCAGCACCACACCATCCAGAGAATCAATGCCGAGATCTCACGGTGCTGCGCCCTGCTCCCAAACGTCTATCTGGCCCATCACTCCACCCTTGGACCACAGCATCTACACGACCATAAACACCTCAAAAAACAGACCATTGGACTCTT